GTGTGTGTGTGTGAGTGGGTGCCCAGGTGTGTGGTGTCAAGGTGACGGAGAAAGAGTCCGGGAGGATGGGAGATGGCGACCTCTGGTGGTGAGAGGGAGAACACCAGACGCCAGCCCCTGACAAAATCGTGCACACAATTTATAAATCGAGGAAACAAATTAGTAAATCGTGCACACAATTTAAATCGATGGAACAAATTAGTAAATCGTGCGCACAATTTATAAATCGATGGAACAAATTAGTAAATCATGCACACAATTTATAAATGGAGGGAACAAAATAGTAAATCGTGCACACAATTTATAAATCGAGGGAACAAATTAGTAAATCGTGCACACAATTTATAAATCGAGGGAACAAAATAGTAAATTGTGCACACGATTTAGCCCACTATTTTTTTCCTGCATGCCATGTGCGGGGCTCCGTAGATAACTATACATTTGACAATAATATGTTCTACAGTACTGAGTGTGTTCACTAGCTGTTTCATTGATTAAGTGAGATGTGCTCTTCATCAAAGCTCTCTGTCATTATGACATGAGTAAAGCAGCCATCTAGTGGCCCAGAGGATTATCAGTCAATCATCTGAAATGTTGAAGCACTATTGCAGTAAGGATCTGAAGCTGAAAATCTCATCACATCTTCTCATCCATCTTGAGTTGAAAAATTCTCGGTAGTTCTATCATGAGGTTAATGAACAAACCTTGTTTGAGAATAGGTGAAGATGGAGTCTTGGATTTTGGTGTCTACTTGTCTTTTTTAAGTACTTAACAGAAAGTATGATGCAAAATTTAAAAAGGCGTTTATATACAGTACACAAACTAAATAAAACATTGACTTTTTGAGTTGAGTTTTATCTTGTAGAACGAGGTGTTTTAGGAGGGCGTGGACGAATCTTAACTTTTATAAAGAATATCTCTTTGGGTTTGAGACTTTAGTCTTTGCAACTTTAGGAATCTTATCATATAGGCTGCTGTCCCTTTAAGACCTGACGCATGCATCCTGTATAATGATATACACATCCGATTTCTTTCTCTATTTCCATGTTTATGAGAATGATTGTGGAAAGGGGTATTTTGACATAATTTTATGTGTCTGTTCAAGCGCAAGGAGATGCAAAAGGCAAATCAACTCTGTGTTTGCGCGATGTCTTAAAAGTGCCTCCTTGTGTGCGCGCGCAGAAAACAGGGCGCGAGTATCTCTTTCGTCTCTTCTTGCGCTGGAATGGCTTCAAATCCTTTGAAGCTGTAAACTGGCCAGACAAAACACGTAGCCTACAAATGTAAACCTTGCCTCTATGATAGATCAGTTTTGTGTGGTTCTGTTTCTCCTGAAGGAGGTGAAGTACTTCCAGTTCCCAGGAGAGTTGCTGATGCGGATGCTGAAGATGCTCATCCTGCCTCTAGTAGTTTCCAGGTAAGAGAGGACTAAATTTACTCCTTCTTGAGGTCCCTGTTTGCATGAATCTTATTATGAGTAACTTAACTGTTAACATCTATGAATCTGGACATACAAACGAATGTACAGTATGTATTCTGTTATAAAGTGTAGATATAATTGAGTTTGTGTTAAGAAATAGAGATTATAAGGTCTATAACTTGTGCAAGTGCAAGTACAGTACAACTAGTTTGATGCTGAGATGAGTGACTGCTTACCTGCATCAATCATCCATAGTAAAAATAAAAAAATAAAAATAAGGCATGGACTTGGTCAGACTCTGGTAATAACTAAAAAGACAAATGTGATCAGTTGATAATCAGTTTTGATTATTTAACTGAGTTGAAGTTCCTCACTATATTTTCCATCAGTTATTACACAGTGTATGAGTTATGATTACACAGTTTATAAGGTCTAACTTTTGCCATCATTTTCTTACTTATTGCTTTTCCAAAACCATATTTACCAAGTACTATCAAAGCCAATATTGCCAATAATGATACCAAATCAGGTATGTATATTAAAAAGGAGATTTCAAAAGGATAAAACGGGCAGTTATTATAATTTAACATTATATTTGAAAGCCATAATTTGTAACATTTAATATGCTTAAACAGGCACTTGCAACTGTGGAACATGATCAATTAACAAATCAATAACGAAATATAAATTTTAATAGACTTACAACAATGAATGTCACGTACTAGCTTTGTTGTTAATTAGAGCACCTGGTACATATTCATTTGAATGCTGAATTAAATCTAGCAATCTTTACTAACACTTATGATCTACTTTTTATTTGAGGATCAATATGCATTAGTATAAAAATACCAAATCACAATCTATATTTACAAGTACAAGATGCTTATCCAAAGTGACACACACACAGTACATTGCATTCACATTTAATCAGTCCATGCATTCCTTGAACCCATGACCTTGGTTTTGCTAGTGCCATGCTCTACTGTATAAAATACATGAATGCTGTCAATCATATTATATTCTTTCTTCTGTGGTGCACAAAATGTTTTCTAGAATGTCTGATATTTTCCACACATAATTGAAAATGCATGGTGATTTATACTGGCAATCTCCAAAAATGCCACAAAGCACCATAGAGTGACGTGTGCATTTAAGTCTTCTGAGTCCATATGATATATTAATATAAAAAACAAAGCGAAATTAAAACTATTATCCTTTCAAACATGGCACCTCTAGATGTCAGTGACATCACTGCTTCTTAAATATTTGATTATATTATAAATATTATTTTTATATTTTAAATAGTATTTTATTATAAATATCAGCAGAAAGGAACATTTTCAGTGAATAACAACTGAAATGATGTATGTTACTCAAACAAAGCTATCACATGGCTTCATAGAGAAGACTTATTGGTCATATGCACTGACTTTATGGTTGTTTAACACTTTTTTGCATCTCCAATCACTTTCATTGCATGGAAAACAGCAGTTCAGACAATCAAAAAAAAAGTCATGCAGTTTTGAAACAACATGAGAGTGAGTAAATGGTGACTGATATTAAAGGGGTCATATGATGTTGCTAAAAAGAACATTATTTGGTGTATTTGGTGTAATGAAATGTGTTTATGCGGCTTAAGGTTCAAAAAACACATTATTTTGCACATAATGTACATTATTGTTTCTCCTCTATGCCCCGCCTTTCTGAAACGCGTCGATTTTTACAAAACTCATCGGTCTGAGAAGCGAGGTGTGCTGTGATTGGCCAGCTGTCCAGTGCGTTGTGGTTGGCCGAATACCTCAAGCGTGTGACGGAAATGTTACGCCCCTTACCATATTGTGATGATGCCCTGTCTGCCCGGAGCGACGAGACAAAAACATTAAAACCCATTACAAACGAGGCATTTGTTGCATCCAGTGGGGACATAATTACTGATTATAATGACTTATACTGTCTTTTTACGCGTTGCGTTGCATATCGCGCCACGTAAACATGCAACCATGTCTGGAGAAATGACAAACAACAAGTGCTACTCTACACTGCTCAAAACTCGCGTTTGAATCGTCAGTGGCAAATTCTTTAAATATCAAAAACGTACTTAATGGCTGTGAGTCAGAAGCGCCAGACTGTCCTTGCAAAGTTGGAACTGCCCCACTTTATAGAAACAGACACCGGCATTGTAGGCTACTCTCACAGGAAACAGTCCTCCATAAAATGTGCTGCACACTTCTGAATATTTGGGTTGAAGTGTTCTGGAACAGTGTTGTAAATACAACTTAACCACAGATTTCTAGTTGTGTCCTCTTTTGGAAGGCCAAACAAAGTAGTTTCGCTTTCACAACGAAAAACACAGCGGCCTAGCATGAGCGAAAGCCCCGGCTTAGCGTGAGCTGAAGCCGGGCAAGAGTGAGCTGAGGCGGCGGGGTCGAGAACGGC